AGCATATTTTAGCAGTTTTAGTTGTATGATGACTGTTTGCTAATTTTACTATTTATATTATTGGATACTATTAATTGAATTATAATATCCTCAACTTTGAGAGTCTAGTGTGATTTTAATATTAGCTTATCATGAAAAAAATTAATTTTTATTAGTTTAGGCTTATTAGGTTCATAAACTTAAGCATTTTAATGTTGATACTTCTGTAAATCATCAGTTTAAAGACCGTGGCCTTTTTTCTTATTAGAACTAGGTAGGATTGATGAATGAATCCACTTTTGCAACTATTACACTGGAATTGACTGCTGTACACTTCCTAGTTACACATAGTAATAGTGACAGTTAAAAAAGGGAAGGAGTCTGACTTTTGTCAAAAAGTTTTTTTATAGAATGAGTGTGACAATTGAGCACACAGTCCACTTGATGGTAAGTGGACGCTGTGGCCCATAGACATCTACATTTATCTTCAATTAAGAATCAAAATGGAGATGCGTTGCCAGCGCTGAGGACTGAGATGGAATGCCTCGTTTCCAGTAAAAAGGGTCTCCGATTCTTTACACTCACCATATGAAACACAGCAGCATTAAGCTGGTATTCTGTGAGGGCGTGGTCCTACCCCGGTCGAGCCAACCCATTCACGCTGCAACCACAATATAGTTGCAGCATGGCTCTACCAGGTAAAACCAGATGAATATAGTATTTTTTCAATTGAGTAAATTCAAGACTTTTTATAATTTTGTCTTAAATTTCTTAAGAAATTTGCCTGTCAACATAAATTTAAGTATTTGAACTTTATAATTATTTAATTAATTGAGCACCATGGTTCATTGAGCTTCAATTCACTTAGATTTTACTGTTTACACCTACTTTATATGCAAAATGAGTGATTACATTACTTTTTTATTGTTGAATTTGGATTAGAATCACATTTGAGTACAGGAAGTACATACATGTAGGAAATTGATGAATGGAGGTAGCCCAGGACCATGTTTTATGGCATTACTTGGTTCTTATGTGATCATGATAATATTCATATTTTGCTGTGTGTACTGCTTTGACTCTAATTATAAGATTCCTCCAATTATATCGGTCACATTAGTTGGGTGGATCAGACAAGAAAGGTTAAAGGTATTATATTCAACATCTTATGTATGCCAAAACATGTGACATGTCTTATGTGTACCAATCCTATGCAGTTGACATATAATATTCTGTGAGAGACTTATTAATATACCACCAACACACAATTAAAGAATAACTTATAGAATCACCCTGTTTCTTTACATAGATGTTCTTAAAAGGCGACTTATGGTAATGCCCTCAAGCACTTGCACCCTCCTATAGAACTGAAGTTGAAAAAATGTTAACCATTTTGACATAGGTAGTTAAAATACACTGGCAATCTAAGTTGAATGTTTTTTAAACTATGCCTACTATAACATAAAAAAGTGACTTGTTTTTAGTTCAGTTAGCAGTACCTATTAAATTACTTTATCAACGACAACATCATCATCACAGCCCATCGCAAGTCAACTGTTGTCCATAGGCCTACTCCAAGGAGAAATGTCACAGAGTACTGTATTCAATTACTTAATTCATATTATTTTAAAGTTTGTCCTTGCGTCATTTAAATCGTGTTAGTATTTAAATCGATTATAGAATGTTGCGGTCGACACAGGCTTTCCTTAATGCTTTTGTGTAGGACGTGGCGGTTTTCTTTATAGTCCCCTTCGTGTTCGAAGCTTTGCGGTCTTGCATGTCCATCAATAAATCTTTTAAATAATTATTTTTTGTGTATTATTGAATTTCATTTAGTAATGGATTATTTTTGATAAATTGGAATTGATTAAGTGAGACGATTTTATAAACTTCAATTTGTATAAAAATAATTAAAGGAGTTTTTAGATTGATAAAATTAATCTCCTCTTAATACATAATATAATTATTTAATATTTGTTTATATATACAAACATGTTTTTATAATGAGGATATAAAATTGTCCCCTTTGTTGCAAAAGCAACGATATTTAGTGGCTTTTGCAGTTCCTTAATACGTTATTATTACTATAAACAAGTGACTTTTCCCAATTGTGAATGCTACTGGAAAACTACAAAAATGAATGGGTGGTGAGTTCACATTATCTCGACGTTAAGTCACGTCACGTCACCTAACCTTGATTCTATTTATTTTTATAGTTTTCTAACAGCTTTAACGTTTATAGAAATTCAACTTGGCTAAGCCCGAAAGTACTTCAGATGATTTAAATGAATCTTCAAAATCTCCCTAGAAATGGCCAGGTGGATTGTCTATCGCTGTAGACGGCGACGCGACGCTTACCAAGCTTGACTATTAAGGCTAAAATGCTACTTACACGCGAGTCTCATGTCTCCAACAATGGAATTTTACGGACTAACCAAGAAGAAGAAATAAGTGTTACTCGAGTTAACAAAAGTTACATATGTTCCTTCCTTTAATACTAATATATTGTACAAATAATTCCACGCGTAGAAAGCACAACGTGTTGTTCTAAAGAAGCTACAATCTCTAAAGCATAAAAGTCACAGACCTTCAATTTACTTGTTCTTGCATTTAAGTTAGTATAAAATTAAGTTATCATAAGTTCCCGATACATTATTTAATGCGTTATTTTTCATAACGGATAACTTGCGCTTTTTAATTATCTTTAATGCTAACTCAATAAGCAGAAATCAGTATAGTTAATCGATAATAAAGTACTGGGAGAGCATGAAGCCGAAGCAACAGCGCGGATCGTGCGTTTACGTTAAATCAATCCGGCAAGTGGACAAACCAGTCCGGCAGCTGTTTGGACGTGGTTACAGGCGCAAGTGACGAGAGATACATACTATTTATAAGAAATGAGTGTCTTTTAATATCTCCTTATTTGTATTATATTTACGTATAGCAAGCAACATGTCAGTTATTATTAATTATAAGTTATTGTATTTAATTATACTACACTATGAGGCTAATTATGTGTAAATAGACAATATTTTTGTAGAGACAATGAAATTCGTTTAATTTAGGTAGGTGTATGTATAAAATACATATCGCTGTGGTTGCAAGGATAGTCACAGTAACTGTTAGAAAATTACTGGGTATTGAGTTTGTACTATTATGCTCTTGTGTCCAAAGGTAGTGGAGTCTAAGTAACAAAATCTATGCAACCTTACGCGGCAATTAAATATGCAATCTTTTTGTAAAGACTTAAATTATCGCGTTATTACGTCCGACATGAGAAGAACGGCAGGTGTCGCTTTCGCAAACCTGTAGTCGCACAGGAAATAGCTGCTACATGCATTCCGATAAAGAGAGAAAGCAAATAGGTAAATGTATTAAATATTCTGTATACTACTTACGATAAAATGTTTAAAGGTGTATGTAGAACTACATCGTGATATAACAACAGATAAAGATCGACAGACATGTTAAGACGTAAATGGCTCAAGAAATATTATTTCAGAAGTTTGTTTACAAGAACATCGCCGTTACAAAATTAGTGTTTAGGCACAATAATAAATGCTGTATTGTATGCAAGATTATTATTGCAGGATTTAATTTTTACTTTACAGGTGTCATAGAGAGTCATGGTTGCTCAGAGAGATGAGTTCAATCCTCAGTATTGGCACTAACTTATTTGCTAATGACAAATTTTAATGATGGACCATTCTCATGTTGAATGTTAAGCTCGTAGGTTTGATATATATTAGAGTTGGACCGATTAGTACTTTGGGTGATTGGCCGATTAATCGGTTAAGTAATGGCCAATTAATCGGCCCAGCCGATCCCTATCCGATGATAAATTCAAATGGTGGAACAAAAATTCTTCCAGATATCCAGAAATGTACCGTTAGCCAAAGTTTTCCTTTGCTGCCCCGCCAGCTCTGTGTGTAGTGAGAGACTTTTTTCTGAGGCAGGGAATATCAAGGTATCTATGAAACAAAAAGAAATCGACTTCAACCAGAAAATGCTGAGATGTTGGGCTTTTTGCATCACAATTGGCCACTGGTTAAAAATAGCAAATAAACTAAATATTTTATAAAAAGCCTTTAATAATTTTTCAAATTGAGTATTTCTTTTCAACAAATTATTAGATGATTATAGATTCTTTACTTAATAACATTACAGAGAAAAAAACCACTTTGTTGTAATTTTTGGTACAAAAAATAACAATTTGATTTAATTTTTAGTACAAAAACATTAACAATTATTTTTAAGTACAGAAACAAGTATGTTCTATTTGTCTTTTAAAAATCCACGTGCGTGTAGTTTAACAAACTTTATTCAAGAATTAAGTTTTTGTTACGGAAAGGAAGTGACTTAATTTAAAAAAAAAAAAGTTTATTAAGAATAATATTATTAATATTTTATTTTGTTGTGTCACTACTCTTCATTACGATTAGAAAAAGTTAAAAAGTAGAATTAAAATAGTAAGTACCTACTTAGGTTTTTGTTTAGTTTTAAATAGCTACCTCAGATTCTTTTTTTACCAAAATTCGTATGTCCAGAATAATGAACATTAAAACATGTGAGACCGATTTTTCAATAAAAGTTATTTATGAACCTACTTATTTTATTATTTATTTGATTTACCTACATATAAATCTGACGTGTGTTTACGCATGGAAGAGAAACTATACTTTTTTTTAAATTTAAGGCTTTACTCATATCAATGTAGCTGCAGTTACCACGCAGAAAATCACGAAAAACCTTTGCTGAAATTAACCCTTAAACCCTACCCATTCTAGGAGAAACACTATTGCTACCCAGGGGTTTTAAGGACCCCACTATATAAATATTCATACTTAAAAAATAAAAAACAATTTAATTACAATTATTATTTATTATAATAATCTGCTTATTAGACAATACAAAAAAATTGTTAATGGTTTTTGGTAACACATTCATGGCACATGGCCTCAGTATGTTCACCGCAAAGAGGTTTTTGGCACATGCCACAGGTGACCTTGGTTTTTCGATCCTTACCCCTTGGGCACATTGCACATCTTTTTTTTAGCAGTGGGATCAGAACTTGGTTCTTGCAATGGCCGCTTCTTTTGCAAGATTCCACCTAAGAGAACTTGAAGATTCATGGGCAAAGAGCGCCATGTTAATCGTTCTTCCATTTGAGGGGTGATCAGATCTATGGCAAGTTTTTTCAAGAAATGACGTCTTTTTGTAACTCTTTTTTATGGCCATTTTTAGCAGGACATATGAATTAACACCTACTATATTCAGAAGGCCAAAAAAATTGCCATTGGCCACCTTTTTGATCTCCTAGATACGCTGTACTTGTGGCATAGCTGATCCATCAAATCGACTCCGCATTTAGTCTTATTATAAAACTCTATCATCTCTGGTACTTGAATCGTTGCATCAGGATCTGCTGTTGCATGCATAGTTGACAACATGGGGACAATTTTTTTTGTTTGGATTTTGGGGGGGCAGTAATACAAAAGCGTAAGTTCTCCTGTAAAGGCAAACTTTGCCGTGTTGCGATCGCGATCTTTTAGCTCAAGAAAAGAAGGTGGAATTTCTCTCTTGTTTCTACCTAGTGTACCTACAAGGGTCACCTGCTTTTGCAACAATTCTTTTGCTGCCGGTATTGACGTGAACCAATTATCACAAGTGAGGTTGCGGTTTGTGCCATGAATTGTTTCAGTCAATTTCAAAGTAAAGAAATGAGCAGCTGCTACATTTGTAGGGCACGAGCCTTTGCCCAAATATACAAAAGCATCTAACATATAGGCAGTTTTAGCATCGCAAGTCATCAAAATTTTTATACCATATTTATCTGGTTTACTCGGAATGTACATTTTGAAGATACATCTACCTCTAAAGCCCAATAACATTTCGTCTAATGTACAGCAATCTGAAGGGCTATATACTTCACTCGAAACTTTGACAATGTGATCAAAAATGTTTCTAATTGGTGCTAATCTATCATTTTGCTGGCGTTCTTCTCTGGTAGACCGGTCGTCAAAACGCAGACAGTTTGTCAGAAACTCAAATCTGGCTTGGCTCATGGTGGCACGAAAATAGCCAACACCTGAGTTCTTGTCAAACAATTCCTTGGTGGTGACGTGATTCATGTTGAGTACCCCTGCTAAGTAGTAAAGTCCAAATAAAGCCTTCATTTCCACCACACTTGCATCCTTAGCAAAAGAAGGACGTATTTTTGTGGAACTCGATGCGTCCGCGTTTTCGTCTTCCGTATTCTGTACAGGTCTGTCTCGTTTATATTTTTCTCTCTGTTTACCAATGTCAGCATTTGTATTTCTTACAATTTCTTCAAGCTTTTCATCAGAAAAAAAAATTCTCCATGCTTCCAGCTCTGTTTTTATTTCACGAGCTGCAGCTTTAGGTCCAGGAGGATGAAACAAAATATTTCTTCGTGGGACTCTAGACTTTGCTGGTTTTTTCACCTGTCCACCTAAACCCGTCCTTGCCCTTCATATTATTAGGGACAGGTAAGACACGTAGAAAATTACCTGAACTGTAATTACTCAGAGGAGTGTCATCTACCGATGAAGAATTTTCTGTATCATCATCTGGATGTTCTGCTCGAAAGTCTTCAATAATTCCGTCTTCGTCAACATCATTTTCAAGGTCAGGAACAGCGACTTCACATGCCTCTTCGTCTTCTGATTGGTCTTCATGCAACCACTGAGTGATCTGTAGGTCCATCTTACGCAATTTTGATCGTTAAAACTATAACAATGACATAAAACACAATATTGAATAAACTGTTAAAACGAAACAACAAAATTGCTAGATTTGTTCATATACGTTCCTAAAGAAAAAAACACTATTGTTATTGTAATAAATACATCAAATGTTAAACTTACCCTTTAAAATATTGTATCAAAAATAACTGCATTCACCAATGTATCGACAAAAAGAAATGACAAAATACTACGTTATTACTACCCTGGGGTCTGACAGACCCATAAATAGCTATAATTCCGTCTAAACTGTGTAAGCGTTGACGCTAGACTAGTGAAAAGATGGCCGACGACGTAATTAAAGATTAGCTCGAGTGGCACAATAGTGCGTTTCGTTATTGCAAAAATATCTACAAATATTCAACCTCTGGGGTTTGCTGGACCCCCGGGTAGGGTTTAAGGGTTAATAAAATAAAAAGCCGATTAATCGGCCGTTTGAGCCGGCATCACCGATGAGTCGGCGGCTAATCGGGCCCAACTCTAATATATATAACAAGATATATAGATAGCAATGCCACTCCAGTTTCACTTCTATGTAATAATTCAGTCATAGTAAAGTAAATAGAAAAAGCGTTAAAGAATTCCAACAGTAATAATAAACACTTTAGAACGTCTCGGTTATCAGTTGTAAAGTAGATTATAATATACAGTAAACAATACCAGCGGCCTCATTCAATTTCCGCATATCGGAGTCGGTAATCGTTCAATCTGCGCATTTGTTACTACCGGGATACGACACGGTATGTTATGCACGATAATTCTATCGGCCATCGAATGCCCGCTTGCATTTCTCGAGATTTGTATCGAATGAGCTCGGCTCGTTTCCTTTTTAAAAATATCTTTTGATAAAAAAGTAAAATCCGAATTCAAAGACCTAAAATATATTATTTTTAGTTTATTATATATTAAGTTTGGTCTTTTAAGTTGTTTTATTTTGAGACGAAATTCATTCGCCTTAATGAAATCGAATTGTTAATGAAAAAATATAATGCTACCTCAATGTATTACGGAAAGAAGTGAGAAATAATAATAAATTTTTATTTGATACTTGTTATCCGCCCCTGCTTCGCACGGGTGATTTCTGTATTTCGACAACAGCCACCTACTGGGTCTAATTGAGTTTTTAAACCATCCATCTCAATTTAAAAAAAAAATCATTAATATCGGTCGAGTCATTTTCTAGTATTTACGAGACTAACGGACGGCAATTGATTTTTATATATAAGAAAAAAGAGAAGGAGATGTACGTAATTGTGATTAAGATTACCCACCTACTTATCTATTGATTAAAGGTGATAAAAACTAACTTGCTCAAATCCGCGTAATAAAATAAAATGATGTCTCTTACCTATCTTTTTTTTTATAGAATAAGGGTGACAAATAAGCACACAGTCCACCTGATGGTAAGTGGATGTTGTAGCCCATAGACATCTATCTACATTTAATTTCGATTAAGAATAAAAATGCAGATGCCTCGATACAAGTAAAACGGGTCTCCGGTTTTCTATACTCTCCATACGAAAAACAGTAGCATTAAGCTGCTATTTTACGCTGGTATTCTGTGAGAGCGTGGTCCTATCCTAGTTTTTTACTCTGATATTAAAAGCGTTGTTGATCTAGTGATCATAAACGCGGTGGCTGATCAAGAGGTCCTGGGTTCGTATCCATAGTCGGACCAAAATCGGTTTCTGGGTTTTTCTGTAGAGAAATTCTCAGTAGCCAGCCCAGCGTCAGGAAGTTGTCGGTGTCTCACCCCCGTGCCTCGAAAAGTACGTAATGCCGTAGGTCCTGCGCCTGATCTTTCGCCGGTCGTGATTACCTACCGTCCCATCGGACTATGAGAGTGAGAAAATAGAGAGTGCACCTGTGCTTGCGCATACACTTGGACACGATTTCCGATGAGAGTAGCCGCCGTGACCGAAATTTAACCATGAGGAAATTATTATTATTGAATGAGAGTATTATGAGTGTTCAAATGTTTACCTAAATTTTGAAATCATATTCGGAGGATACAATATTACGTTCAACAAAATATGCGTCACCACTTATAGAGTTCGATTCATATGAAACTTAAAATCTCTTAATAAGTTTTTTATTTTCACTTAATCGCATATTATACTTCGATAGTCAAACAGCTCTGCTAGCACAGTCGAAATTTGCGACCGTAAAACTAGTAAGAGAATGTAAACATTGTCAAAACGCTAGAAGATGCAACAATCGTATTGAGATGGGTTCCGGGACATGCGACACACACATTGCACATTGACTGAACGGGTCGAACAATAGTTGCATCACACGCGTTAAATAGTACAAAAATTGAACAAGAGTCATTTTATGGAATCTTTAAGAGCCTGGCTCTATTGACTCCTGAAACACTTTACAATGAAAAATATAAATGGCTTTAGAAGCTTAGTATTAAGTAAGAACAAACTTCGTATTTTAGTTAAGAGCCCTGACTGGACATTGCTGTTTAAGAGGGTAGACGGTCTGCCCGGGAATTGAAAAACCTCTGGTCTCCACCCGAAGTGTGCGATAGGGACAACTGCAGCTCAGAACGATTTTACCTACAAAAACCATAACCGATCGTCGTTTCGTATTCCCCTGTTTCCTCCTCGAAAACTAAGCCAATCAAATTATTTTTGGTATCAAAATTTAAAAAAAGAATACATCTATGCTTCTATCATTTGCTTTTATCTTAAAAACTTTTCAAATTTCTTTGGTAGTTGTCTAATTACGGAGGTAAAAACGGGGCATTTTTTTAGGTTTTTGGAAAGTCATATTTATTTTTGTAATATTTTTTGAAAAAAGTAAATGACAGGGGCATACCTTCAATAGATCTAGATTTTTATAAACAAATAAGATTACTCGAGAGGCATTATCCAGGAAGAAAATAGGGGAATACATTTGTATGCAAAAAATGAAGCCCGTCTACCCTCTTAAGCACATGTCTATTTATTGACCTAGCAAGTTGTATGGGAAACTCGTATCCATACTGCCGAACGCTCGATACTCTGAACTCACTATAGGCCTCCACTTTAAACTGTCGTCACTCAACTCCAGTAACACAAAAGCATGTGTTTGTAATGTATGTCTCGCTGCTCGTACGTCACTACGTATCTACACGTAGACTTACTGATTCACTAACATTAAACAAAATCGAGGTTAAAATAGCAATGTTCTGATCGTATATGTCCTCGTATAGTTAGTAATATATATAGAGTAAGCATAGTCAATAGTCATACGATTTAAAGCGTCATTAGCTTAGCAATGCTGGTGGGAGCACCTTGTCTCCCGGGAGGCGTCCATTGTTGTATACTTGTTCATTACGCTCTTATCCGTCATTGGCAGCACAATGCGCTCCAAACAATATAACTGTTACTTACGCATCGTAGCCATTTAATGGACACATTACTACAGCCTCTACTAAATTTCTATTTTTATGTTATGTTCAATACTATTTTATTTTATGTATTAATAAACTTAAGATCGACCTAAGTTAAGGTATTTTAGATGGAAGATAAGTTGACCAATGAGTACAAAGGATGTTATGTATGGTAAGCTCGCAGCAGCTTACTATAGACATTTGTCCTCAATGGGCATTAAAAATGCAGATGCGTTGTCACTTCTAAGTAGGGTAAGCCTTGGTTATTCGGTGATATATAGTAATTCGGTGATACTTGTGAAACATTTTATAACGCAGTTACCCGGCTGTTTCCGTGGTTTTACACCTCACCAATTGATGGCACTAACAATGAATAATAAAAACTCATGCAAAATTTCTGAAGGAAACCTCAGAAACTAGCAAGACCAAAATAGGTTGTCACTGTGACAGTTTTGTCAGGAATTTCGGTTGCGAAGAAAAAGGTCTTGAAAACTTCTAAATTTTTCAAATAATTTCTTACAATGGGAAAACCTGGACAACGTAATAAAAAGATAAAGGACTTTTTCGTATTTTATAAAATTCTCACTGCAAAAGTTAGTATTTTTTATGACAGGGAATAAGTTTTTAGTTGAAAATTTTACAATTTTAAAGCAATTTTTTCAAAACAGTATCACCATAAAACCAAGTGCATGATTAAGTGTTTTTTATTTGTTGGTCTTACATTATAAATTCTTAATTATTCTGAAACACAGAGTTATGTGTAGCAAATATAACAAGACTATAATTTGTTTGTGTACATCTGCATAATTATTTTAAGATATAGGTCGTTTTTATTTTTTAATTACAATGCTATCCCAAACGTAGCAGTTGCACCTTGAATGGTCTCAGAGAGTATAAATGAAGATTTGAATAAAGAAAATAATGCTCCCCAACTAAGCTGTTCTGGTGTTGAAAATATATTGAAAATTCCTCAAATTCCTCAGGCAGTGTCAGAGGGCACAAATAAAGATTTGAATAAAGAAAATAATGCTCCCCCCAACTAAGCTGTTCTGGTGTTGAAAATATATTGAAAATTCCTCAAATTCCTCAGGCAGTGTCAGAGGGCACAAATAAAGATTTGAATAAAGAAAATAATGCTCCCCAACTAAGCTGTTCTGGTGTTGAAAATATACTGAAAATTCTCAAAAACAGAAAAAAGAAGGAAGAAAGTGCCCTAAATGCAAAACAAAACGGGGTCAAGTTTATGGCCCTGTAGAAAATGTTAAAACGAAAAATATAAATATATGTGGAACATGTGGAGGAGATTTTAAAGATGATGTAAAGGCCAAGAATGGGAAAGAGTGGATTGAATGTTTATGTAAGACTTGGTATCACGTGGAGTGTCAAACTGTGCTGGATCCAAAGTATTTCTTATGTTCTGAATGCCAAATATCAGATTAAAATCCAATATTTGTTAGGAAAATAAGAAATACTTTGGATCTGTATGAAATATTGTTGATTATAAGCAAAGCCTGATTATAATTATAAAAAATAAAACTATGAAAATTAATTATAATTTTCATTTTTAATATGTTACAGCT